ATTTAAACGCGATGTCAGACCCGCGGAGTACACACTACAGGCGGCTAACAACCCTAAAATCGGGACCTTCGGCCGACACCTCCTGACGGTCCGACTGGGCCGAAGTTTCCCTTGGATATTTACCATTGTCGATGTCCAACACCCAATAATTTACGTCGAGTTCTTCACGAAGTACGGTTTATCTGTCGACCTCAACCGCCGGAAACTGATAGACAGCACCACCGCTTTGTGCGTTCAAGCTGAAGCCAGCACCACCAATTCGATCGGACTTCGAACGGTTTTACCAGAGGCCAACCAGTAAACAGTTCTGCTGAAACAATTTCTCGGAATCTACCGAGCAGCAGCCAAAACCACGACGCACAGACATGATGTTTTTATCGCGTCATCACCAAGGGACCACTCAGATTCGCGCGTCCACGCTGACTGCCTCAAGAGAAACTGAAGATCGCCAAAGAGGAATTTGCAGACATGCTGCAGCTCTGAATCACTTGTCCCTCAAACAGCCCATGGTCACTGCCTCTGCACATAGTCCCCAAGAAAACGGCGGGAGGTTGGAGACCATGCGGTGACTACCGAACGCGGAACAACGCAACTGTGCCGGATCGCTATCCCATTCCGCACATCCATGAATTCTCCATCGGCTTACCTGAAAAAACGATATTTTCCAAATTAGATTTGGTCAAGGCATATCACCAGGTTCTTGTGGCCCCCGATGACACCGCTGAAACAGCTATTACTACCCATATTGGCCTATTTTAATTAGTTCGTATGCCCTTTGGTCTCAGGAACGTCGCACAAACATTTCAACGCTTCGTTGACCAACTCCCACTTGGACAGGGCTTTGTGTTCGTCTACACCGATGACGTACTGGTTGCCAACAACAATGGGCAGAGGTATCTGTCTCATTCGAAATCTGTCCTCCAGCGTTTAAATCACTACGGCGTCACAACTAATGCAACCGGATGCATCTTCGGTGCTTCTTCCATTGACTTTCTCCGTCATCGCATCGACAAAGGCGGCATCAGACAGCTACCGGAGTAAACCAAAGCCATTTCGGATTGTCCATTTCCTCAAGCTATAAAAAACCTCCGTCGATTTTTGTGGATTGTCAATTACTATGGTCGCTTCATCCTCATTTGATCCGACAAGCTCAAATCATTGGGTGATTTGCTGCAAAATAATCCAAAAACGTTCGTCTTCACTGCAGAAGCCACCACCGCTTTCAATTCCGTCAAACAGTCTCTGGATAACGCCACATCTCTCGGCCATTTGAGTACTGACGAACATGCACGGCTAGTTCTAAAGATTGACGCATCCCAGTCTGTTGTCGATGCGGTCTTGCAGCAAGTCATCGGCAATGGAGTCCAACCGCCATTTTTTTCTCCCGAAAGCTACAACCTCTCCAAACGAGGTACAGCACCTTCGGCAGAGAACTGTTAGCTATCTAGCTTGTCGTTAAGCACTTCCTACATATGTTGGAAGGACGTCAGTGTACCATCCTCACGGAACACAAGCCGCTAACACACGCTTTCAACACTTCCTCAGACAGATGCTCATCGTGATAAACCCGCCACTCGGACTTTCTCTCCCAGTTCACGACGGACATCCGCCACATAGATGGTCATAGTAACCTGGCCGCAGATGCTTTACCTCGAGCACACATTCATCACTTATCCACATTTCCCATCGATTTAGAAGCCATAGCGGCGGCACAACACATCGGCGAGGAATTCACCCAACTGCACTCTCACAAGTCTCTGAAATTCCTCCAATCACCACTCGTGCACTGCGACTCCAAAATACACTGTGACATCTTGGTCGGTAAACCTCGACCTTATGTCCCCTCCAATTACCGGCGAAATACTTTCAGCTACTTCCACTCTATCTCCCATCCCGACATCCGTTCCACCGTCAAGCTAATCATCGACCGTTTTGTCTGGCCAAACACACGCAAGGAAATACGTGAATGGGCCAAGCATTGTCTGTCGTGTCGGCGAAGTAAGGTACACCACCACACCACGTTCAGTGTACCGGACGCCCACTCCAAACACGTCCACATTGAAGTTGTAGGCCCACTTCCACCGTCGAACGGCTTTACGGATCTGATGACCTACATCGATCGTTTCACACGATGGCTGCAAGCAACGCCCATACGCGACATCTCAGCGGAGAACATCGCACGGACGTTTGTGGAAACTTGGTTATACCCTTTCGGCGTACCTGCATCCATCAATACTGACCGTGGTACCCAGTTCACATCCACGCTGTTTCGTGACCTGCAGCACTTACTCGGATGTGAACACTTCCGAACAACCGCCTATCACCCAGCATCAAACGGCTTGGTGGAACGTTTCCATCGTCACCTAAAGGCCGCCATCCTTGCTACAACATCTGGCCCAAACTGGTCGGAAAACTTACCGCTCATTTTGCTTGGCATCCCTGGTAATATCAAGGAAGACATCGGCTGCACCTCGGCTGAACTCGTCTATGACTGCACCTTACGCTTGCCAGGTGAAATGTTTACGGATTCTAGAACCATTGGCCTGACAGACTCGACGTCATACGTCACACGTCTAAAAATGCACAAGAACAGGTTAAAGCCAGCCCCAATGAGGATCACCCCAAGGCAGAATCAAGTACACGAAGACTTGTGCACTTGCCCCCGTGACGGCCCGTTTATAGCGCTCGAACGCAAAGATAAGTATTTCATCCTCAACCGTAACGGCGCTCGTGATTTGGTGAGCGTCGACCGCTTAAAATCGGCCTCTGTGTACCCTGTAGACTTTCCTCCTCCACCACCTCCTCCTCTTCTGGCTGTGACTACCTCTTCCTGCCATCCAGATCTTCCGAACCAATCCATCTCCAAACTCCCCCAAACATATTCAGACTCCACTACTTCCACTGAGGACGTGCAATTCTTTCATCTCCCTCCACCACAGACATACTGCGGACGACCGCACAAACCTCCCATCCGCTTTGCAGACTACTCAGAGTAATTTCATTCTTCTTCTTTTCGAGCGTTTTCACATCCAAATTAACACCCTAGGAGGGGATTTCTGTAGCGTTTTGTACTGCATACTTCCCACTACTGTTCTTCACAATTTCCCACTTTCTTGAAATTCACATGTACACTCGTTTAAATCATGTGAGTTGATGCATTTAACAATAAAATAATCACACTTCCAAGGTCGCGAGCCCCGTGTTCCCTCTCTGCGTTCTGTGTCACGAGTTAATGGCTAACGGAATCCGCATTAGTTTTGGCACAATTATGAACTCATCGCTCGTCGAAATTACCTCCGTTGTGACTCCTAAAGGTACTTGGGAACTATACGGCATATTACATCATTTGGGATACTTCATTCTGAGTGGTGGAACTCTAAACGGTGCACCTTCATGAACCATTGTGAGTCAGTTATTTTCATTTTTTTATCACCTTCTGATTTCGTATTCACACTTGCATTGTATATAGCGTTTAGATCCACTACAAACGCGTGCAAACACGTCGATGTATATTATGTATCTTATAACAACTCAGTATGAGACACGGTGAACAGCAGTTTGCCAATCGTGTTACCAGGATTTCACCCTAGCCAAATGTTCTTCTGAAATTGTGACCGGAACTACCGTTGGTTTGATCAAGATATAGAAGGGAAGTGCTTCTTAGCAAAGGACCAAAGCATTTTCTATATTATATTTGTGTATCACGCTATTCTCGGGGTCCACGAAATTTTCTGAATAGTTGACCGTCCAATGCTCATAATGAGCTATTCTACCCAGAGCTCTGTATTATCTCCATCTATCCGTGATGATTAGGGTTTTCAGCTGGAGGCGAAGCAAATAAATAATGTAACAGGCCTACATTAATGATGAGCAAGAAGGTGGCCGTATTCCTTCTGTTTCGAGGGCAGACCACCATGAACGTCTATCGTGTTTCCCCTTCAGTGCCACCAATTACATAAGCTTTCGGGAAGTGGAACACACGGTGATACTTCCTTTTCGTAAAGAGTGATTCGTCTATTCCGACCACGGAATGAGTTACATATTTTTAGCGAATTCCCCAAATTCGGTCGTAATAGGAGTTTTTCCTGATCACCGTTTGCTTGGACTTACCATGCTGAATGCCAGGCGTATGTGACGATGAAAATTAACCACTGTTTTGAAGCCTATTTTCAACGTAGTGGCTGGGAATGTTATGCTATTTTTGAACGGCCAGTGCAGCAAAATCGTGAATGCTTCCTCTAACGTCAGATGTGCACTTTCAAAAATGGAATCTTTTCGGCCTAGCCGATTCTCCCTCCAGCGTGCGACGACGTCTGTGGAATACATCGGCTCCGTTGATGAGGCTAGCACCCAGCTGACATTTAGTGCCACGACCGCGTAATCTGCGGCCGGATGCGTTGATCTGCTCCGAAACAGCCTCCTTGCCTGCGCACTTCGGGGCCTAAACCGAGTCCTGCAAAATGCAGAACATTTAAAAGGAATTACCTTCCGAAAGTTTCGATAGCACCACACACAGATGTTGAAACCACCGTGGTTACTATACCATTCTCATCATCGCACACAACTTTGGCACCAGGGCTGCAAATCTATATTCTAAACATGAAGTACAAACACGCCGAAGAATTTACTATCCTCGGGCAGCGTACTCGCCCCGCGCTGAAATGTCATTAACATCAGGCCACATTGATCACCCTTGGTCTGACGGGCGTGGAGCTCCAGGTGTGGCACAACGGGCAAAAGACGGTGTCAAACTTAAGGTCGGTAAAACGACAGATGGATAACTCTACGCGAGGCGCAGGAAAATGAGTGTCTAGCGTCGACGGATGAGCCAATGCATGGAAAGGCGACTGTGTCGTTCGCCAGCATGGTGTTTCAAGGAAGTAACGAGCAGGAAACGGCCATTTGGGCGCGAAAATAAAATATTCAAATTGTTCACAAAATTACTTACAAGTAGTTTGACGGATTTATGAAGTTAGATGAGGCCGAACTGTGAACAGTCAGGGCTTCGGCTGGACTCGAATCAGCGTCGGAAACATGATGCCTCTACGCGGCAAGCGCTCTACCAGCTGAACTACGAAGCCACGCAAGGAGCTCGGAAACTTCGCAGTTGTGTCTCATCTGCTTTCATAAAATATTAAAATGCATATTACGGAACAAATGTGAAGATTTCATCAAGTGCACCAGTGGTGTTGCGATGGAAAAATCAGGTGTGGCCAAAAATTGTCCCCATTC